AATCACTTTAGGTGACTGGAATGATACTCAGGAAAATGAGTATGTTTGAATGCTGCTTAAATATGGAAGGCACATGAGTCAAAAATAAGATTCCTTAATATGCAGGATCAGATTATGAAATACTGTTGACACCATTCTTTCCTAGTGGTAGCCTGGCACAAATCCCAAAAGATGGTCCTACCTATATATGAAATTCTGGACTCTAGCAGATTCTGACTCTTTTATGGTCTTTGGCACTAACAATGTCAAAAATTTAGATCAGCCCTTAATTTATTAAAAAATGGATCAGACATGGCACCTGTGGTAGCTAAATCACCTATGCCATTCCTGGAGGGCACCTACAGAACCCTAGTTAAATAAAACTGTAATTAAAAAGAATAGTTAAAATCTTATGACATTGCTAAATCTCATGAGATTGCAAGGTTTTTGCAGGAGATTATCCAAGATTTCACCTGAGAAATTAGAAGTCCCATGAGATATCAGCATTCTTCTGTGAGATCACATGAGCTCTTAGGGGTGTGGAAGCTACAGTCTTGTAAGAGGTCTCATAAGTTATTACCATTTGTTTATTTTTTAAGTCGTTTCTGAAAAGGTTGCCAAGCCCTGACCCACAAGATAAACTACACTGTTTACTCTAATTTTCCCATTTTTTGCAACCACCTCTTGGCCATAGTTCAACATTAGATTCTGCAAAGGTATCCTTTTCTCCTACCTGGTTTGGGAAAAAAAGCCATTGCACTAGTAATGTTCGATCATTGTCCATCTTATAAGGAAGAGATTTTGGTAGCAATATTGCAAGTCTCTCTCTAGCTTAGTTCAAGTAATAATCCTTTCTTAAACCTCTCTTCCTTTTCCCTTTCTTTCCTTCTTCTGGAAATACCATTTACAAGGAACCCTAGTATTGCAGAGCAGCTATAATAAAGAAGGTACGTTCTACCCCATGGTTTGCACTTCTTACATCTTTGTTCCAAGACAGCTATCCTCAATAAGTGCAAGTCATTTCCTTTTTTTTTTTTTTTTTGCAATTTTCATGGGTGAAAGAGGTTGGGGGAAGAGGTGACATCTAGGCAATCTAAGCATCTGCTAAGATAGGCCTCCTTCCCCATATTACAGACCGCACAGGAACACAGATGAGGAAACTATACTCTTCTTGAATGTAAAGTGGGGTAGAGATGGGAGAAAAGATTTGCAAGACATGCATGCCGTTAAAATAGCAATGACTCCGTTTTCTACTTCCCTTCCACTCACTCAGGCAAAATGCACCAATAAGAAACCCTGGTGCTGCAAAGGGACCCAGTGGGTATGGTAACATGCTCCTTGCTGCCGATCTGGCTTGTTTAAAAACAAAAACAAAAAAAAATGGCCTTTGCTTTTTAAAAATACTTTAATTTAAAACAAGCAAATGAACAGGGGAAAGGCCATGCTGCAAAGCAAAATGCAGAAAGCTGAGGCATAATCTGTATTGCCAACAATTCTTTTGGCCCTTGTGCAGCTCCCAGGGGCATTCTTAGAAAGTAAAAATAGTGAATGCTATATTTGAGTGCCAGAATTTAGCTGATCTTGGCTGATCTTGAAAAGCTAATTGGTTAGTATTTGGATGGTAGACCAACAAGAAATGTCAGAGTTGGGAAGGAGGAAAAAAAATACATGAAGACAATGGCAAACAACCTCTGTTTTGTTGCCAAGAAGACTGTATGGATAGGTCCTTTGAGTTGAGCCTAGATAAAATTCAAAAGTAAGATGAGCTCCTGGGAAGCATTCTGGGATAATGGCAATCGCGAGAAGCCTACCTTGATGTTTTGTGGTTGGCGAGGTTGATCATACAGCCATTCTGTGTCGAAATTCTGATTGTGTTGAGGATCCCTCTAATAAATAACATATCACCACTAATTTTCCATGAAATGACAGAGGAGATTTGCTAGTGAATGTCAGGTGCCTGTTGGTCTGAATTTGAATTGTTATATTAGGAAGGGAAAATAGCTAGTTTGTTTGGTCTTTCTAGTTTAGCAAAAAGCAACCAGGATGAGAATTTATGAAAGTTTATGGAACAGTGCAATATAGAAGAAGTATAGAAAAAGTGAGTCAAACTGAGCTTTTCCCTCCATCTGTTATAAGACAGTCCAGCCAAGTGTTAGACTGAGTATGTTGAAAAGACATGAGCAAACAGGCCAATAATTTAAAAAAGAAAAGAAAGGGCCTTGGGGCAGCAATCTGGAATGAGCCCCTCCAATCTGAGTCATGGAGGAAGGCAAAACAGATTACAGCCATTTTTTTTATTTTTTATTTTTTTTACTCAGTTGCTATTTTCCCCAGGAGAAAAAATTACCTTCAGGTAGAAATGTAGCTGGAGTGAGAATGAATGTGATTCTGGGCACTGATTACCCAGTGATTTCACTGGGGACATCTGGGGTTGAAGGCTTAGACTACTTTCTCTTCCAAATGGGGAAGAAGGACATTTAAAAATGGGGGGGGGGAATATATGTTGCTTAGCCCTCAAACTGTTGGTCCATCAATGCAATTAATCTGACAAGAGGTAACAGACTAGAGAAGAAACAAAGGAAGAAGCCCTCCTCACATTCCAAAATGAAGTTATGACTTCACTCCGGAAGATCCAATGATGACAACCAGATAGAAAAGAGATACAGATGAAATATGCAGAATAAGGATATTAATAACTCTTAGCCCAAACTTTTAGCTCATTTTTTCAGGGGAGGTTTTTAAGGGGCAAAAGGTATCTCTTGCGCTTCACAAAAGCTTAAGACATTCATTTCACCCCTGTAAAAAAATCTGTCTGGGGGGGCATTTAAAAATAAGATGACAGCTTTAATCATTCCCCAATTCCTCCCTCCCTCTCACACACACACACACACAGCTTCCTGTCCTGTCCACTCTGGTAGCATAATAATTAAGGTTGTATCTCAGTTCAAATTTGAAGGGAAAAAGATGCTTTGGAGCAGGCATGGGTAAGCATGTAGCACTGGTTTAAAATACAACATTTCCCAGAATCACATTGCAGTTATGGGAGGCAATTGCATGGTTTCAGGAAAATATACATCTGCTTTAAGGAGTTGCTGATAGTTGCTGGTGTTACCAGTCACTTACCCTCCAACTTTTGATGGGTAGTCAAGAAAGACTATAGCATCCAGTTTCAAGAAAGTTGCATATCTCTTTTCTGCATCAAGATTTAGGAACAAGCTTTGTGTGACCTTGGCAAAGCCACCTTTGAGAAAAATGCACACTTTCCTTATCAGTTTTGTATAGAATAAATTCACTGATAACTGGTAAACATGATCTCATTATAATATGTACTGGGCTGATATGCAGTACAATCTCAGCAAAGTATCCATCCACGTCAGCAAGGATTATTCCATCATACAAATTTCCCCTGTAATAAAGTAACAAAAAATGCCACAGTCCATGTCATCATCACCAGATGTTCTCCTATCTATAAAGGCAATCCAATGCATGTTTACCTGGATGTCAGTTTGGCTGAATTCAATGATCATTACTAGCATGTATACCTCAAACTACAAACCTGCATGTTAATATTGCTTTAACTTGTTTTTAAGTGTGTCATTTTTCTCCCAAAACACACACAAAGACAAAAACCAAGAGCCATCAAAGCAACACAGAAATATACATACATAATTAAATGAAGTAGATATAATCATTTGTGGATTATATCAGTCAATGTTATATCTATGCAGCAGGAGCAGGAGCAACAAGAACTATTATGCAACAGCACCATTTTTTTCAAATTACGTTGGGGAAAACCCCTGAAAAACTAAAGCAAAAGGGCACTTGGTGGATCTCCTGGGGTAAGGCATTCCAGACTGGGTGGGCCATGTCATAAAAGATGAGCTCCTCTTCATGGATAGGACAGTGAGTTATGCACATCCTCCCTTTTCAAAAGGGAAGACAAGAGAGAACACTGTTTTTTCAAGAAAATGTGCATGTTAATTTTGTGAATTGCATTTCTGGCTAAAAGCATTTATAGGTTCCCCTATAATCAAAATTTCTCAGGCCAGCTTGCAAGAGATTTTGTTTTTCTTTTCCACTCTCAACACGAGACAAATGAAATGCATTTAATACAGTAAAGAATGGAAGTATGCATCTTAAAAATCAAAATGCAAAAAATAAAACTATTAAGCTACAATCAAATAAAACACTAAAAGAGATTGAAATGCCAAGGGACCAAAGAAAAGGAGAAAGCCTGCTGTTAAAAAGACAACAAAGCAGGTGACAAGTGAACCTCTACGGTGAAGGTATTTGAGAACGTAAGTATTGCCACTGAAAAGGTCCTTTCAATCAGTCTGCAAGGACACCCCAGATAGAAAAGGTCCTCTATGAAAGATCTCAAAGCCCAAGTTGATACTTGGGCTACTTCTGAACCCCATGAATTTGCTTCCATCTAAGCTGGCTAAACAAAAGAAGTTACAGAGTTAAAGAACGTAAGATGAAAACCTGTCTAATCCAGGTTTCTGTCTCTATTGTGGTCTATCAGATTCTTCTGGGAGGCCCCTAAGCCAGGAAACAATGCAATATTCTTTTTCCTTTGATATTGCTGGTAACATACAAATATCATGACTGGCACCCATGGTTAGCTTCATCTGGGAAGTTGTCTAATTTCCTTTTAAAGCTATTCACACTGATGGCCATTGCTAGTATATATTGTTAGTAAATATCATGGGATAACTCTATGTCATTTAAAAGTGTTACCTTCTGCCTGTCCTGAGTTCATTCCTTCCCATCATTAGCTAATCCTACTCAACTGAGCTTTGCCTTTTGCTACCTTAGAGGAACAGTCCAACTTATATACAGTTTACTGATGTAAAAGCTAGAGTTTATTTCTGTTCTGTTTTTCATCAATCAAGGGATCTGTACATCTTGTTAGGTTGTAAGAGGAAGAGAAACCACTGACTTTAACAGCTGGAAATTATATTTCCAGAAATGGAAAATTTATAGTCATTTACTTATTTGTACTTCCCAGCAGGCACAGAGAGAGAACTTTCTGCACAACATAACTCTGCTCTGCATTTGGTAAAATCCAGTGTGCATCTCGGAAGGCATTCATTACTCCATCTAGCCATGTAAGCTGGTGAAGAGATCGTTCCAAGGTCAGTCACATTTTTCTCCTTCCCTCTTTTTTCTCATTCTAACCAATCTCCCTGATTCATGAAATTCAAAAATGTGCAGTGATATTGTATATTGGGGAGTAACAAAAATAGTGACTGTATGAATGTTGGATTTCTCTCCTATAGTCAACAGAACTATTATGGCTTTTGATTAAGGCTGAATTTGTACTAGCTTTCAGTATCCCCTGATTAGGTATTTATTTATTTATTTATTTATTTAGATATGCTATCAACTACCAAAGTCTACAAAGTGGTGATATGGAGCCATAGTTAGTATCCAATCATGTAAATCTCCTGCAATGAGCTATTTCAATGTTTTCTCCTGCTTTATTGTGGTTTTCATGCTTAAGATGGTCTTGTGTTTTTTAAAGATGTGATGTTAATGTTTAAGATGACTTCAGCTTTTACAGTTCACTTGTGCTATCATTGTTTTAACGTTGTTTTATTTGTTGTACAGCAACAATAATAGAAATGGCATGATTTCTCTCCCCCCACCCCGTGCAAATCTGAAGCGACACAGTCCAAAAAGAAGTCTCACCCAGGTAAGAGTTAAGCCCAAGCTTTGAACAAGGCTTACCACTACATATGAACCTTCCTAGAAAGCCTTCAAATCTCCCAAGTTTCTCCCTCCTCCACCATTGCTAGAAAATCCTCTGTAGTCTTGATATAGACAGTTTACACATAGTCCACATAAAACTGGCATGCCACCCATATAGAACAAGCAGATAGAACAAGGATTTCTCAGCTAGCTTAAGCTTTCCAGTCTTTCTCTTTCTACATAGTTTTTGCTGTTGTTCTTTTTCTTGTATTTTCTTCTTTATCTTGCAAAGGCAAGAACAGACCTGTCTGGACTGAGATGTGAACTGTTGGAGACTGTGGTAGAATGTATTGTCGAAGGCTTTCACGGCCGGAATACGATGGCTGGTGTGGGTCTTCCGGGCTGTGTGGCCGTGTTCTGGAAGTTTTGTTTCCTAATGTTTCGCCAGCATCTGTGACTGGCATCTTCAGAGAGCAGGAGCACAGACAGGAGCAG